CTGCGTGTCACGCGGGCCCAAAATCTGCGTGTCGCACACCGGGGGTCCGGGGGCCGGGGTGGGGACACGCAGAATCTGCGTGTCACGCGGGCCCCGCCAAGGGGGCGGACATGCAAAATCTACGTGTCGCACGCCATGGGTCCTGGGGGCCGGGGTGGGGACACGCGGAATCTGCGTGCCACGCGGGCCCAAAATCTGCGCGTCGCATGCCGGGGGTCCGGGGGCCGGGGTGGGGACACGCAGAATCTGCGTGTCACGCGGGCGCCGCCAGGGGGGCGGACACGCAAAATCTGCGTGTCGCACGCCAGGGGTCCTGGGGGCTGGGGTGGGGACACGCGGAATCTGCGTGTCACGCGGGCCCAAGATCTGCGTGTCGCACGCCGGGGGTCCGGGGGCCGGGGTGGGGACACGCAGAATCTGCATGTCACGCGGGCCCCGCCAGGGGGGCGGACATGCAAAATCTGCGTGTCGCACGCCATGGGTCCTGGGGGCCGGGGTGGGGACACGCGGAATCTGCGTGTCACGCGGGCCCAAAATCTGCGTGTCGCACGCCGGGGGTCTGGGGGCCGGGGTGGGGACACGCAGAATCAGCGTGTCACGCGGGCCCCGCCAGGGGGGCGGACACGCAAAATCTGCGTGTCGCACGCCGGGGGTCCTGGGGGCCGGGGTGGGGACACGCGGAATCTGCGTGCCACGCGGGCCCAAAATCTGCGCGTCGCACGCCGGGGGTCCGGGGGCCGGGGTGGGGACACGCAGAATTTGCATGTCACGCGGGCCCCGCCAGGGGGGCGGACACGCAAAATCTGCGTGTCGCACGCCAGGGGTCCTGGGAGCCGGGGTGGGGACACGCGGAATCTGCGTGTCACGCGGGCCCAAAATCTGCGTGTCACGCGGGCCCCGCCAGGGGGGCGGACACGCAAAAGCAGCGTGTCGCACGCCAGGGAGGGGTCCTGGGGGCCGGGGTGGGGACACGCGGAATGTGCGTGTCACGCGGGCCCAAGATCTGCGTGTCGCACGCCGGGGGTCCGGGGGCCGGGGTGGGGACACGCAGAATCTGCGTGTCACGCGGGCCCCGCCAGGGGGGCGGACACGCAAGATCTGCGTGTCGCACGCCAGGGGTCCTGGGGGCCGGCCCGGGGTGGGGACACGCGGAATCTGCGTGTCACGCGGTCCCAAAATCTGCGTGTCGAACGCCAGGGTTCGGGGGGCCGGGGTGGGGACACGCAGAATCAGCGTGTCACGCGGGCCCCGCCAGGGGGGCGGACACGCAAAATCTGCGTGTCGCACGCTAGGGGTCCTGGGAGCCGGGGTGGGGACACGCGGAATCTGCGTGTCACGCGGGCCCAAAATCTGCGTGTCGCACGCCGGGGTTCGGGGGGCCAGGGTGGGGACACGCAGAATTTGCGTGTCACGCGGGCCCCGCAAGGGGGGCGGACACGCAAAATCTGGGTGTCGCACGCTGGGGGTCCGGGGGCCGGGGTGGGGATACGCAGAATCTGCGTGTCACGCGGGCCCAGAATCTGCGTGTCGCACGCCGGGGGTCGGGGGCCGGGGCCGGGGTGGGGACACGCAGAATCTGCGTGTCACGCGGGCGTGTCACGCGGAAAATCTGCGTGTCGCACGCCGGGGGTCCGGGGGCCGGGGTGGGGACACGCAGAATCTGCGTGTCACGCGGGCCCCGCCAGGGGGGCGGACACGCAAAATCTGCGTGTCGCACGCCAGGGGTCCTGGGGGCCGGGGTGGGGACACGCGGAATCTGCGTGTCACGCGGGCCCAAAATCTGCGCGTCGCACGCTGGGGGTCCGGGGGCCGGGGTGGGGACACGCAGAATCTGCGTGTCACGCGGGCCCCGCCAGGGGGGCGGACACGCAAAATCTGCGTGTCGCACGCCAGGGGTCCTGGTGGCTGGGGTGGGGACACGCGGAATCTGCGTGTCACGCGGGCCCAAAATCTGCGTGTCGCACACCGGGGGTCCGGGGGCCAGGGCGGGGACACGCAGAATCTGCGTGTCACGCGGGCCCCGCCAGGGGGGCGGACACGCAAAATCTGCGTGTCGCACGTCAGGGGTCCTGGGGGCCGGGGTGGGGACACGCGGAATCTGCGTGTCACGCGGGCCCCAGCAGGAGGGGGCCAAGGGCCGGGGACCGTGGCGCTCCTGGAGGTCCAGAGACCGGGGGCGACACGCGAAGCCTGCGTGTCAGTCACTCGGCGGCCTTGAGGCTTCAGACTGACGTGACACGCAGGATTTGCGTGTCACGTCGACTACGCGACACGCAAATTCTGCGTGTCACGTCACACGGAACGCGCTCGGGGCGGCGTCGCGTAAGTAAACGTGGCACGCAAATCCTACGTGTCACCCGGAACGCGCTCGGGGCGGCCGGGCGACGCGACACGCAGGATTTGCGTGTCGCGTAGACGTGACACGCAAATCCTGCGTGTCACACGGAACGGCGACGACGTTGCTGTTGCCGTTATTAGTTTGATCTTTTACGAGCGTAAGCAGAAGCTGCGCCCTGACGCTTTGGAGACACGTTGGGCGTCGCGCTTGAGCACATGCCTTCCCGTCGGCACCTGTCATTTGCAATTCGTGGCCGGAATTGGAAATGACCGGAATTACAAATGACCGGAATTACAAATGAGTGCTCTGTACGAGATCTGCTGCATGCAGCTGGTCTCTGCCCTGCCCGCCGGGCGGTGTCCTTCTCTTGCAGGGGCGCCCTCGGCGCCGGAGGGCGCCAGAAAGACCAGATGCAGTGCGGATGGTTCGCCAACACCCCCTCTGCTATCCCCCTTGTTTCGTCCGCCTCCAGAAGGGTGGGTGGGAGCCCAGACCTGCTCGCAGCGTGGAAGGCCTTGGGCCTCCAGGGGCCCTTGCTGGGACCCCGGGACCGCCAACACGCGACAAGCGACCCAGGAGGAGAAGTTGGCCTTGGAGGAGTGGTCCAGACCTGTGGGGCCCACGCTGCGAAGCAAACGCGGCGTCGAGGATCAGTCTGGAGGGCTGAACTCTGGCGGCGCATCTCCTGTGGCGGCGCATCTCCTTGGGTGGCTGGGCATTGCAAGAGTTAGGCGGGCGGCAATGGCGGGGGGGGCTGGGGGCAGTAGACGCAGGGGTTCGAGCAGGGGGGCGGCCCTGCAGGGGGCCTAAGTGGCCCCCACGCGGGCCCGAGCGGCGCTCCTTCGCCCCACGCTTGCAGCCAGCACGAGGGCGAAGGAGCAACCCCAGCCTTGGACGGGCAGCCCCAGATTCTGTTCGTGCTCGGGCCTTCGCCTCGGAGCACTTGGTTCGCTCTGGGCAGCTCCGCGGGGCCTTGGGACGTCGGCGCTGGGGATAATGTTCTTGCCCCCCCCCCTCCTCCTCCTCCTCCTCCTCCTCCTCCTCCTCCTCCTCCTCCTCCTCCTCCTCCTCCTCCTCCTCCTGCTGCTGCTGCTGCCGCCGCCGCCGCCGCTGCTGCTGCTGCTGCTGCTGCTGCTGCTGCTGCTGCTGCTGCTGCTGCTGCTGCTGCCCCCCCCCCCCTGCTGACGAAGCCCCGAATGAGCAGCCGCCAGTACCACTGCGGGCTGCGCCACGCCCAAGGTTTCGTCGGAACCCTGGCGTGCAGCGCCCAGCGCCCCCTGCCCAGCCCGAGGAGGAGGAGGAAGAGGAGCAGGAGGAGGAGGAGGAGGAGGACGACGAGAAGACACTTCGGATCATCATCTTATAGCGAGGCCGAGAAAGAGAGAGAGAGAGAGAGAGAGAGACAAAGAGAAAGAGAGAGAAAAAGAGAAAAGAAAAGAGACGGAGAGGAGGAGGAGGAGGAGGAGGAGGAGGAGGAGGAGGAGGGGGAGGAGGAGGTGCTCTCTCCAGCCAGCGTCTGTCCAACGCAAATAAGGAATAGGCGGAGGTGCACGGCGATGACAAAGACGAGGAGGAGGAGGAGGAGGAGGAGGAGGAGGAGGACGAGGAGGAGAAGGTAGGGCGGCGTCTCTCCGGAGACGCGAGCGCCTTAGTGTCAAGGAGGAGGTGGAGGAGAAGGAGGAAGGAGACCTCGGCGCTGTCCTCCCCCTCCTGTATCCCTTATCCTTCATCCCACGGGATGGCTTCGTTTCTTGGAGGAGGGCTCGGGGGGTCTCCTGGAGTGTCTTAGGCGATCGGGATGACGACGACGAAGACGACGACGACGGCGACGACGACGACGACGACGATGACGACAACGACGACGACGACGACGACGACGACGACGACGACGACGACGACGACGACGACACAGTGCTAGCTGATAGATGGCTGCGCTCGTCTTGTGGCCCGTCTCCCCGTACTTCGTCGCGCGGGCGGGTGCGAGATCACCGCGCGGCCTCTCCTGCAGCAGCGCCCACCTCCGCGTGCCGCGGGGCCCTCGCCCCTCCCTCGACCGACGCTGGGCGCAGCGTTTGGTGCTGCTGCCGGGGGCCTGCGTGCCTCGGCGAGCCTGCTGCCCGCCAGTGGCCCGCGCGACGGGCGCGCCGGGAGCGCAGGCCACGACGACCACCACGGCGAAGGCGACGGCGAAGGCGACGGCAGCGACTGCGGGTGGAAGGGCCCCACTGGCGGCAGCCGATGCGCCCACGCGGCGGCGGCCGCGCGACGACGTCGACGACGACGACGACGACGACGACGACGACGACGACGACGACGACGACGACAACGACGCCCTCGCGCCGCGAGGACCCTCAACGATGGCGGCCCCTGGGGGGACATCGTTGAGGGGGGGACGGGAGAGGAGACTGGAGGGTCGAGGCAAGAGGTTTTGTCTCAGTTGTCTACCGTTTTGGGGGCCTCCCAGGGCGTCCTCGTCGCCGTGGCTGGATTCCTTTTCGAGGTTCTAGCACCCAAGAATTCTGGCCAGAAGTTCTGGATTCCTCGATGGGTTGGTCGACTACGGGCACGGGCCTGTCACCGTGGCGACCCAGGGTGTCTGACAGGGGCCCATCTGGGTGGGTGCCTGGATCCGCTGCCGCCGAGCGCACCGCCCGGTGCCCAGATGGTGCGGCGCCTCGACGGGGCCATGCAGATGCTGGCGGCGGTCCAGGACCGCCGTGAGGATTAGGGGACGACGGAGCAGAGTAGACTTAGGTCGGGCCTGTCCCTCTACAGGGGGAATACTCAAAAATATTCAAAACATAGTCCGGGGATTATTTGTTGAGTATTTTTTACGATTTTGGACTATGTTTTAATGTTTTCTTTTTTTCAATTTCTGTTGTCGAAAATTCCCCTGTAGGGGAACAGACCCGACCTAAGAGTAGACCGGGGATGCATTGCCAACCGCGGCTGGTGCTGCACAGTGCAGCATCGGCTTCCACCCCTCTCGCTTGGGGGTCCACCATGCGCCCTCACGAAGTTCAGGAGGGTCGAGAGCTCGAGAAGCTGCCTCCTCTCAGGAGGGGAAAAACACACAGACACAATTAATCGTCGACTCCCAGGAAAATATGGGAAGTGGGGGGGAAGACGAAAACACAAAAAATATGAAAAACATCGGGAATCCTTTTATTTGTGTGTATTTATTTGTGTGTCCCTGGGCCCCTTGACTCACGAAATTCAGGAGGGTCGGGAGCTCGAGGAGCTGCCTCCTCCACCTCCGCGGACGCCGAGTCGGCTGCGCGTAAGAGTGACCCTTCGCCGGAGAGACCCTTGATGCGGGCCCACAGGCGTCCTCCCGACGCCCTGCGCGCGCGACTTGGGCGTGGCCTCCCCGCAGCCCCCGCCCTGAAGCCGCGCACCAAAGGTCACTCTTGCCTAAGGTCGCTCATGCGTGCAGCCGACTGAGAGACAGAGAGAGAGAGAGAGAGATTCACGCCGGCCCCACCCCAGAGCTTCTCTAGAGGCGGTCATTCGAGGCCAGGCTCTGTGCGTGTGGGTTTCCCAGCGGACCTGGGGGGGGCCTTGCGTCGTAAGTAATGACAATGGTACGCTCGAAGGTTCCCAGCCTTCCTATTGTTCCGCGTGGTTTCCTTTCTTTCCCTCCCTCCTCTGCCAGTTCACTCATAAGCGCATGACGAGTGTGTGGTTTTTGCTAGCGTTTGTGCTCCTCGCCAGTCAGCCTGTGCGGCGGCACTCGCGTTTTGACGCCCCCAGGACCTCTTGTCTTGGCGACGCACTTCGGAAGCAAAGCTGTGTCGCCGAACCCAGGGGGATGCCTGCCCGTCGGTTTCCTATCGCCCCTCCTTTCTATTTCTGGCCCCCCCTCCTGCTCCGTGCTCCTCCTCTTCCTTCTCCGTTGTTGATGCTTCGCGTAGTGGAGTCCCTTTTCCTTAGGTGGCGAAGCTGGCAGTTTCCATCATCTCAGCGTTGGGTTCACGGAGGGAAATACGCCACGCGGGCTCCAGAAACGAGGGCCACTAGACGTCCCAGAGCTTCTGGAACGCCTGAGCGAATCTGATATCGTCCGCGCTTCTGGGCGCGCACAGCGTTCACCCGCGTGCCCGACCCAGGCGAAGGAATGCACGGGAGACGCCGCAAGGGAAACGCTACAGGGGAGACGCCACAGGGGAGACGCCTCAAGGGAGACGCCACAGGGGAGACGCCAGCCGACCAGACCCTCAAGGGAGACGCCACAAGGCAAACGGGTGTTCTGAGAAGTCCCTGGCTGTTATTGGGCAGCCCTGCCCTGTTCAATTCCTTCCCTGGGTGCGTTTATTGAACGGCTTCGTTCGTCGGGGTGCTTATCGTGAGGGTGGTTCTTCTGCTCTCGATTCAGAATGCTTCTTCTGCCAGAACGAAAATTAAACCCACCCGGGTCTACCGAGCAAAAACACGCCGCCTCTGTTCGGAATATCTTCCGGTCGCGTCAAAAGTGGAATGGGATAGCGCCGCTTCAACAGTATAGCGAGCCGCTCCAACTGGGCTTGCTGAGCTTGTGCGGGAGTCTACGGGGGAAGGGCCCCCCTATGCACATCGAAGACGTCCCTCACTAATGCGCGCTCCTCGGCAAGAGCGAGTCGAACGATTGCTCCGTCTGTATATCTATTACGACGGTTCCTAGCGTACCTGTCCGAGGGCGGGTGGTCGGTTGCGCGGGCATGCACGCGCAGGCTGCCCGCGGAAGGTCAAGCGCGAGTGCCCTCTTCTCCATAAAGTTGTGCCACGTGAGCTGCTTGTGCAAACCAACCCGTCAGGCCGCCTTGTTCTCATTCGCAAGACCCTTTTGTCTTCTTCGCTCAGCTGCAGGGCCGCGAGCCTTGAGCGGGGGATCGGAGACCCATTGGTCATGAAGACCCTCCCCCCCCTCCACGGGGGTTTCACCTGGAAGCTGAATTAAGACGGCTTCGCGTTTCCCGCTTCCTCTCCCCCCTCCCTTTTGTTCAACGACGACGACGACGACATACTGGTAACGAGTCGGATCTGCGCGGTAGTTCCACAGAGCTCGGAAGAGACTTCATTGAGCAAGATTGGGCCAAGAGGGGGAGATGGTTTGTTGGGCGGATTCCATGGCCGGGGCCATGATAGCTCGCCAGCCATCGTGGCGCCTGGCCTTCTTTCAGCACGTCCCCAGGACCCCCCCTTGGGCCGCGCACGTGCCTCGGGCCATGGTTTCCGACCCCCCCCCCTCTTGGCCGCCCCCGAAGTTGAAGCCCCCTGGCCTTGTTTGGGGACGCGCCGACCCTGCTCGTGCCGAGGACATGTGCGGGCAGCAGCGCAAGGTGATCGCCGCGCAGAAGGACGCGATAGCGGAGCTGGAGCGCGAGTGCGGCGAGGAGCTGCCCCCCGTCCTCCCTCACCGCCTCTGCCCCCCCCTGCTCCTCCGCTTCTTCTTGTTATTCTCATCATTAGTACGATCATTCTTTCTTACCCGTATCATTACCATTATCATTAGTATTGCGATTCTCATTGCTAGCAGTGTAATTGTTCATACGTCTATTGATATATGTATGATGGTTGTTAGTACGATTTGAATTAGAATAATACTAATTATTATCAATCGCATTAGCATTCGTATTCTTGAGCATTAGAAGTATTATTATCATAGTATTGCTAAACATATCGGGCAGCCGGGCATTTGGATCCGGAGGCTGCTTGCTGTCTTCACCCTCCTCCCTCCGTCTCTGTTTCCCTGCACGCCGTGCTGCGTAGGTGCTGCCAGTGCGTCTTCCGCGCCGCCCCCGACCCCCCTTCCCCCCCCACACGTGCTCCCAGCCCGTTGGCAGCATGGGGGGAACGGGCCCTGCGGGAGACGGGCCCTGGACCTTTTGAGGCCCTCCCTCAGAACCAGCCCCTCACCCTGAGCCGTTTTCGGACGGTCCCGGGGCCCGTGGAGGGCCCCTGAGAGCCTCGGGGGCCCCCAAACGGTGCGGTGACCACACCGTGCGGTGAGTCGGTGGGGATTCGGGGTCACCGCACGGTTTTTGGACTCGGGCCGTTCTCCGAGGGCGTCTCGGGCGACAGGGGCCTCCAGGGTCCCAAAACCGTGCGTCTGACGGACCGTGCGGTGAGGTCTCTTAGGGTTCCGAGGTCACCGCACGGTTTGTCACCGCACCGTTTCGGGACTCCAGAGAGCCCGAGAATGGCGGAAACGCTCGGGACCCGTCGCTCCCCAGGGCGATCTCGGTCTCCGCGCTCGCGCGCCCGTCTCGCTGCCGTGGCCGCGGGCGCCGCCGCCCGGCCCCTCGCACGCGTGGGGCCGCGCCGCGCGGGACCACGCTGGCGCAGACAGCTCCCGCACTCGTCCTCGGCGTCCCCGTGCCCGTGCCCAAGGCACGCCGCCGCGCACGCCCGCCCTCGTCCTCCTCCTCCTCCTCCTCTTCCTCCTCCTCCTCCTCATCATCATCATCACGCTCCTCCGACGTACTCCACCTCTCCCTCTCCCTCCTCCTCGTGGTCTTCGCCCCTGGCTCCTGCCGGGCGGTGCTGCTGGCAGCCGCCGAGGCCGCGGCGCAAGGGACACCGACGTCTCGGCGTCGGTGTCGGTCGACCAGAGAGCCCGTCCTCCCCTCCTCTCCTGCGGCCCCCCGGGGCTCTCCGCCGAAGTCTCGGGTCCGGCGTTCTGGCGGCCTGGTCTGTCCTCCATGGACATCGCGACGTCGATGCCCTCGTCCTCCTGCCTCTCGTTCTCTATCTCTCTCTCTCTCTCTCTCGTGTCCGTTTTCCTTGTTCTTGTCCTTCCTTCCTCCACGGCCTCTTCTGCTCCCCTCTGTTCCTTTTCGTTGCTTCGCATTGGCCTCCTCTGTTCTTCCTCTGCCCTTCATTCTCCCCTTGACTCCTCATGTTTGTCTGTTGTTCTCTCATCGTTCCTCCTCTTTTCCTGCTCTGTTTTCCCCCAACCATCCTGTGGTGTTGGGTCCTCATTTTGAAGAGACAGCGCCCCGCGTCACTTCACTCCTCCTCCCTCTGCCCACTCCCTCCTCCTCTCATCATCATAATAATACGAATCATCATCATCATCATCATCATCATCCTCCTCCTCCTCCTCCTCATCCTCATCCTCCTCCTCCTCATCCTCCTCATCCTCATCCTCATCCTCATCCTCATCCTCATCCTCCTCATCATCATCATCATCATCACAACATCATCATCACCATAATCATCAGCAGCAGCAGCAGCATCATCATCGTCATCATCAGCATCATCATCACCATCATCACCATCATCACCACCACCGCCATCATCATAATATTCACCATCACCATCACCATCACGACCACCACTACCACCGCAATGATGATCATCACCATCATCATCATCATCATCATCATCATCATCATCAACGACATCATCATCATCATCATCATCATCATCATCATCATCATCATCATCATCAACAACATCCTCATCATCATCAGCAGCAGCATCATCATCATCACCGTCATCATCGTCATCGTCATCATCGTCGTCACCGTCATAGTCTCAATCATTAACATTTTCGCCACCCATGTCGGCGCACCCCTTACCTTGTTCGTGCCCCATGGGGAGCTCCACCGAAGGCCCAAGTGGCAGGGTTCGCCTGGCGGCCCCGCCCCATTTCGGCACACCCCTCATGCGGTCCGTGGCCCCACAGAAGCTCCACTTTCGGCCCCAGTGGCAGTGTTCACATGGCGGCCCCGCCCCATGTCGGCACACACCTACACGTTTCGTGGCCCCATGCGAGCTCCACCGAAGGCCTCAGTGGCAGCGTCCGCATGCCCACGACGCCTATTTTTGCATACCTCTCACACAGCTCGTGTCCCCAAGTGAATCTCCACCGAAGGCCCAAGCGGCAGGGTTTGCATGGCGGCCCCGCCCCATTTCGGCACACCCATCACACGCTTCGTGGCCCCATAGGGAGCTCCACCCCAGTGGCAGGGATCGCATGGCGGCCCTGCCCCATTTCGGCACACCCCTCACGCGTTTCGTGGCCCCATAGGGGGCTCCACCGAAGGCCCAAGTGGCAGGGTTCGCCTGGCGGCCCCGCCCCATTTCGGCACACCCCTCATGCGGTCCGTGGCCCCCTAGGGAGCTTCACCGAAGGCCCCTGTGGCAGGGTGTGCATGGCGGCCCCGCTCCGTTTCGGAACACCCCTCACACGTTTCGTGGCCCCTAGGGAGCCCGGCAGAACGCCCCAGTGGCAGGGTTCGCAGGGCGGCCCCGCCCCATTGCGGCACATACCTCGCACGTTTCGTGGCCCTATGGGTAGTTCCACCGAAGGCCCCAGTGGCAGGGTTCGCAGGACGGCCCCGCCACATTGCGGCACACCCTTCACACGTTTCGTGGCCCCATAGGGAGCTCCACCGAAGGCGCAGTGGCAGGTTTCGCAAGGCGCTCCCGCCCCATGTCGGCACACCCCTCACACGTTTTATGACCCCATAGGGAGCTCCACCGAAGTAGTCAGAATGCGGTACCCACAGTTGCGGATGGTTTGGCCCTTTGCCAGGATGATTTCCGTTATTCCTTTTCTGGTCTTCATAGGTTGTTGTTTCCGTTATTATTCTTCTTGATTGCATTGCTTTTCGTTTTATCAGTCCATTGTGGTCCAGCATGGTGGTCCAGTGTGGTCCAACGGGGTCACACGCAAACGAATTCGGATGCAATTCCTGGGAGGTAAAATTCTGATTTTGCCCTGGTCCGAAATCCGGTTTACTCCGACTTACTCCCGCTCAATCCCGTTTACTCCGGCTTAATCCCGTTTAATCCGGCTTAATCCCGCTTTAATCCGAGGCCCACTCTGGCGTAACAGCCCCGCAATGGGGCTTAATCCCCTTTGATCTTTCCGACGAAGACCTCCCAGCAGTTGCCTCCCATGGTATCCAGACTGAGAGTGCTGGCGCCCCTCGCCTCTTCCCCAGCAGCATGCAGAGGTGGAAGGGCGTGGAGGGTAGGAGGGGGCGAGGAGTACGCACTGTTCATGTCTGAGTTTTCAGAAGTTCTTTGATCTTTGGGGTTGCCAAGATCCTTTCATTTCTACTTGTGTTCTACCCTGGGCCTCTTCCTGGCCACCAGGGGGCTAGGAACAATTTAGAAACGAGCACAGTTCGAAGTGAGCACGACTAGAAACGAACGACGTGTAGGGGGAGTGGGGCGGAGGACGAAGAGGAGGCAGAGGGGCAACGGGGACGACGTGGGCGAGGCGGCCAAGGAAGAGAGGAGGAGGAAACGAAGCTCAAGTGGCAAACCTCACAGGGCGGCATCCCTGCGATCGCCGAGAGCTCCAAGAGAGAGCGGCTCCAAGAGGAAGGACGCCAATGAGGGACTCCCCCCCTCTCCGATCGGCATCCCCAAAGGGTCCAAGAAGGCCTCCGACGGCCCCAAGAGGGCCCCAGGAAGGCCCCAAGATGGTCCCAACAGGCGCCCAAGAAGCCCCTCTTGACGGCCCCAACGCCCCCCCCCCCAAAGCGCTCCCCAGAAAGGCCCTCCTAAGAGGGACCCAAGACGCCCCAAGAAGAGGCCCCCGGACCGTCAAGAGACCCCCAAAGACGCCCCAAGACGCATCCAAGAGGCACCTGACCATTCTGCTGAAACCCCATTATGTTCGCCTCCTCCTCCTTCTCCTCCTCCTCCTTCTCCTCCTCCTCTTGCTCCTCATCCTGCTCCTGCTCCTCGGCCTGGGAGCAGGGAAGGAAAAAAGGAAGGAACAGAGAGATGAATGACAAAGAGCACGGAGGGAACAGAAAATGAGCAAGAGGAGGAGCATCTTGGGTAGCGAGGAGGAAAAGGGAGGGACCGAGGGAACAGGGAAGGAACACATGATGAACAGATGGACACGAAAAGGGCACGAGGAGGAAACGAGAAGGACAAGAAAAAGAAAAGAGAAGGAACAGAGAAAGAACGGAGAAGGAAAAAGAGAAGGAACAGCGAAGGAACAGATAATTACGTTCGCGAATTGCGTGATGCACGAATGCCGTCAGATCCTTGCCAACTTGACAACACCCCAGTAAGCAGAAAGTGAAGCTGTATGAGTGGCCGGTTGGTCAAGAATGACGTATTTGAGAAATGCCTGTGCACCATAGCGCAACTAATCAACATGAATGCCAATGTCGTCCATAGCATGCTCATTGTCATCATAATCGCATTGCCATTTCTGCAAAGCAGAGTAAAGTTCATTGTTAGTAACAACTGTATTCCCCACGTTCACACCATCAGGTGTAGGGTTACTGAGGAACGTTTGAAAGAAACCAATCGTTTACTCGCCGCCGCTTTGTAGCGTGATCAAATCAAGGTCGATATGGAATTCTGAGTGCTGCGCGGATCCGGCCATGCCTTCCTCGACAGCACAGTCCGATGCGTC